GTTCAAAAAACGGGGACTGTGCTTAACGAAAAAGTGAAGTTAACTAGACTGTAGAATTTACGCTATATTAACAAACTAAACCAAACTTTTGGCAAATAATTTAACTTCATGAAAAAAACAATTTACGAGTGGTTTTCTAGGTCGCATTTATGACATAAGCACCCACGATGACTGTCAGTTTGGCACGGGCACGCATTGCCTGTCATAGACATATTTCAAGTACCAATAAGTCATTTGCGTGCACTTTGACTCACCGTGTGTGCTTACAACAAGATGGCAGTTATTGCTTTTTGACATTCAAATTATTGGATGCTAGCTGAAAAGTTGTGAGTTGTTACTCTACATTTAAACAACAGAATGTACTAGATTCTCATGGAAATTATTCAAACTGGTTTATCAGATAAAACGCTGGCGTGAATATTATTGGAGGTGAGTCTTCCAGCCTAGGCCATCAATTTAGGCAATAAGGGCTTTTCTAACCAATTGACGAAGGCCTTGCTTTGTAGAAACGCCCATAGGATCAATACTTGGGCTAAACTTGGAATTTCTTTGCAAAATACAGTATTACCGATTGGCTAAGTATGCTAACTTAGTTTTCATTCAACCGAGGCCTATAAAAAAGGGCTACACAGTAGAATCTGCCTAGGTACACTTTGCGCCCACCAGATAAGAAGAATTGCGATCCCAATTGCTGGATTAATAACAATTTGGGTTAGTTTTAACCCACCAACTTACGGCGTCAATTCGCATCCACGTTGTGAGGCATAACAATCAGAACAACCTGCGTTGTTTTAAAGCTTGACCTTTTTTATAGACGCGGTGGGTCGGGAAGTACTACAGTCTAATACAAAGTTACTTCTGGTCGGTATTGCCTCACTGGACAGATTTTTAAGATTTCTACACGAAAACGATCAGCTAATGTTAGTACATTGATCTGCGGTGGGAAACCTGATTGATTATTTGTGCGACAACGAAGTGGCAATAACCTGTCTACAACATCATTTGTGATACCCATAATTACCACTGAAATGCCGATTTATTACGCAGATTTTGGTCCAGACTGTACATACAACGTATCAAGCCTTTGGCCATCAAATTCTGCAGCGGCACACAATGAATCGCCGTTGGGTATGCCGAATAATTATTTCATTAATCATCATTGGCCTTTTTTGGTGCGTTTTTCATCCAGTCTTATATAATTTTGTTAGATACAGGGCTACTAAGAGGTTGCCTTCTGACAAATAAATTTACCTTGAGTCTTGTAATTCTGCAACTTTTTTCGACTTGTATTAGTTTTGATAATGATATGCGATCGAACTTGAAATTTGCTTCAGTGCCCAAGTACAGTTTTGTTGTGGATCCAGCATTCACCATGACGGTTTATCGTAGGCTAGGATTTTGTCATTGTATACCCAAGTACTCTGACCACGCCACTCTAGTGAGTGAGTCAGCCTCGGCACCTTACTGACAGCTCCATCTGTGCTAATCCGCTTCATCCTTCAGGTCAAGGTCATTCTTGACTTATATAAGGGGATCCATCCAGAGAGATCACACGGCCTTTGGTTACACGAGGGTGGGCTAGCGTCTGATAAGGGATCAGGGGTACCAATTATCCGAAGGAGTGTGTTGTCTTGGTTACGGGCAAAACGTAGAAAGCGTAGAGGACAAATAAGTGCATTATTAAAAGTACAGACACTAGGGATGCCACGCAGATTAATAAATATGCATCACACCAAAGGTGTTAGCAGAAATCCTAAATATTAGTTAACGGAGTCAAGCTTATTCAATTAATTTACGCCTTTGTACTATCGTGACATTCATACTGCAGCTCTGTTATTGACTATTCATGTTAGCGAAACTAAAGCTTGATTGGCTGTCTAGGATCTAGTTAGAACAGCCACTGTTAACCGAGGACAAAATTGTACATTTTTGCAGGTAAAACCACGGTAAATACTCAAAATCGCTAAAAGCCCAGCATAAAAGTGAGCTGAAGTTTTTTTTGTGCATGAAACAAACCAGTCTTCTACCGCCTGATTTACCAAGCATTGGTACTATAAGTAAAAGTCATTGTTTAAAATGAGTGGAGATCAAAAACACATCCTGTTAGTCAGATATTTGAAAGAAGGATGTAACTTCCGGTGTTATGCTATTTGCTATTCTTTCGGGACCCGTTAAACTCATATATTTTGCGACATCTGGCAATGAGAAGAACCAGTAGGTTACCTGTGTAAGAGCAGGAAGACAATGAATTTTAACACTGCAGTTCAACCAAAATGAGGTGCAAAAGTACACTTGAGGAGGTGTCTCTTTGAAACGGCCTTGGCTGCCGTAATAGGCTCTTGAAAGCCGTCTGTCGCCTAGGAAAAGTGCTTAAGTAACGTTTTGTGGCTCATTGTTGATAGTGCACGCCAGTAAAAGGATAAGCGATTTGCGCAAATGCTGCGAGAATGACATCAAACCGAGTGAAAATGACTTTAAAATGACGTTTTTATCTCGGCTAGCTTGATACATCAGACACCGCTACTGCGTGCTCTAAAATCAAGCTAAATGTATTGAAGGTTTGCTTTAAGTGAACATGAATTGTTTTGCTAAAACCAATAGCCACAAGTTAAAATTCATAATTTGGAAATGTCTCCTGCACGACAATTAAATTAGAAGCATTCTTTGGATTATTTTGCTTTAAAAATGTCTAACACAATTTGTCAGTGTTTAGTTGTTAACTCTAAATGCTATCAGAAAAAGCTTGTCGTAACCTGGGCTACTGGAACGAATAAATGTTTCCATAACAAAATTTCCCGGGAAAATTAAACTGATAAACACACGACAAAATTAATGGTTATTTCGTGCAAACATTGCAGTAATTACACACCGCGAAGGTTTTAAATTTAATGATTAGTTGGCAAATTTGTTCTGTTGAACGCTACCTCGCTTTTGAGACGCAAAAACGCTGCATAGGAATCGCGAAACCTACGCAAAGGACATTAAAAGCATTCGTGAAGTCTGTAAACTCCCCAGATAAACCCATTTATGCAAAATGTTGCTTTTAATACGATGTGTGAGTGAATAGGTTGTAAAATGACGTGCTTTTTTTTCTAAGATGTACTGAGTACAGTTGTTTGAAAAAGAGATCAAACCACAAATTAAAGTATCCATTTGTTGGAAAATGTGCATAAATTTACTTTCAGATTTGTTGGTAAATTTATTTGGAGTGACCTCATTTCTAAATTCATTACCTTTTTGCAAAGTCTAACTGAAGCCTTGATGTGCCTTGTTTTTCTTCGCATCAAACCACTGACTTTGATGTGACCTTGAGGAAGTCGTCTTGCCCAACCACAGCTGTGCGCTAACTGGTGTCATTCATTTTGGCATTCGCTTGTCTTCAGTAATTGCGTAATATGAGAGTGTTTGTTGTCCGAATATTCAATGCTTCTCTGACAAGACATGCGTTGGTAATAAAGAAGTCGTTTTATGCAACCAACGGCGCCACAACGACAAACTATTTTTATGCTGCACCTAGCCACTTGGATTTGACCAGTTTATCACCTTCTTTCGAAAATAAAAATGCAACGGTGAAACGCAAACACAGCACTCTACTGTGAGGTCAGACGTGAGGCCTCTGCAACTAGCATAAAAAAGCGATCCCAAGAGTTATTCCCCAATGGACCACCAGAGTTTTCTCTCTAACCGTCGAAGCATTTGCGGACTCTCTTCACAAGCACCAACATGAACCCATAGCAATTCCTCCCAATACTTGTTAAGATTATGAAACCGTGGAATGACTGCTAAAATCGTAATCAAAGTTCACGCTACGTAGGCCTGTGGTAGACAACGCATTCTTATTGAAGTGAATGATCTGGGGAACGTGGTACAAAACGAACCGTGGGCCTTTAGTGATGTCCCAAACATGGTTACCCTCACATCCTGACCAGCTCATCCCACTTGTCAAATCAAAATAGCGTCCGGCAAAGCTATTTTCCATTGTTATTGCTTGAAAGATCAAAGAATCGTTAGAGATAAACATTTCTCCTTCTAATACCTGTTATTAATTTTAGTGACCACAAAAGCTTTACTTGTTAAATTATCAAACCGAGGCATTTTACAGGCGAACCCAAGGAAAGGTTTCATAGTACGCTTTCAGAGGTGATTTTTCCTATTCATAAATTATTTAAAAAAAATTGTTTTAGCCCAAGCGTGAGCGGGCCAGCCGCCTAGGATACGCACTGTTTGTTTATTGGCGAGAAAAATCACTACTCGTTTTTTTTCAGTCACCGCATGTAGGCGGTATTTCGTCAGTGAACAAAATCGTAGCATCAATTAGGCACAAGCCATGTATTTTTAACTGGTGTGGAGGGACGACAGAATCTCCAGAGAAAACCGATAAGATGAATTCTATTAGCATAAAATTCCTCAATTTCTCTAAATAAGCACAAGACTTTGTGATTCTATTTAGCACGAAAAGCACGCTTCTACTTGACACAAGCCACGGTTTATACACATCAAAGCCTTTTTGCAACATACAATAAAAATGAGTAACAAAAGTGGCTGAAAATCATCGAAAAATTTCTGGCGCTAAGTTATAATTGCTTTAGAAAGCAATTATCTAACTGGTTGCAGCTCAAATCAGACACAATATTTTATCTCAAGAGACTTAGTCAACAGAAATCGTGCTTTCTTTAATGGGTCATTTGTGTGGCCTCCAGTATAGCCAATCACCGCCCGATTCCTTGACCAATAGCATCTCCATTGTTCAAACATATTGATTGCGTGACCTTGACCGAGTGAAAACCAATAATGTGATTACTTCAGCATTTTACCTTTGATGGCAACACATTTAGGGGTTATGTAAATAAAATTGTGGGAATACCAGCATGTCTTAGTTTAAGGACTCAAAACTTATTTGACGAAATTGAACCAACGCTGTCGTCGGAAGAAAATTTGGGCTATGGAGACAAACAACAAAAGAGAATGAATGCAGAAAGAGAAGTACAAAACAGGAAGTCTCACAAGTTCATCACTTCGCCGCAGGACACGGAGGGTCGGCGCGAGGTGTAGGGCGATGCCTCCTCGCTGGAGTCAGCGCGGTAGAGGAAGGAGGTGCGGCGGTTGGGCGCGTGGTTGAGGGCGAGACAGCTGGAGTGCACATCGGTGAGATCGAAGTCATCCGCGTCTCCTCCGAGGCTGCTTGTTCTAAAGTTTGGCAAATCACCGTGTATACTGAGTTGACTTTGTTATTTGTTTTAATGCGTCTTGCTTGGCTCGCATTTTAAGTGTTTAAACATGCCGCACTTTAGGAAGGGAATTCCGTAAATGCCTTACTCTCTGTGCTTCCGTTCTCCTTCAGTCTATCTCTTTTCAACCTGGCCTTTCTCGCCAAATGTATGGCGAAATACAAAACACCACTTAATGCTTCCGTACTTAATCTCTAATCTGTGAAGATGAATTTGATTTACTTCAAAATCAAAAATTGAATATTCTAGGAGTTAATTTTAGCTTATTTTTTTCAAATACGATTACAGATTTTCATTTTTCTCAACGCATATTTTATCTCGGTGTCCTGTAGCATGAATTTGGACATGCAAAGCAAAGTCAAACACAGTCAATCAATCATTTTTATTGTGTGTTTACTTCGCATGTGCAGAAAACATTCTGCTTAAAGATTAAAATATTTCAGCAAAGGACAATTTTGTGATGAATGTAAGCTTGATTAAATCCAAAATGGTCGTTTTTTAGTCATAATTTTTAATTACGAGTGATTTCGTGGTCTTTACCAAAGAACGATTTTGCAAAAGATGGAGAGGCACTCAATTTATGTAACGCAAAAGTGGTCAGGTAACTAAATTATCTTTTGAAAGAAGGAGCAGGGAGGACAAATTTATTTCCAAAAATTCGATTTTTGCATCAAAATCCCCTTAGATTTATTAAAGCATTCTTTAAAATTTCGTCGCAATCAGCATACGAAAAGGCGCGTGGCTGAGCACAAACCAATCAGCTTTTAAACAAATTGATACTTTGTGTTCTTTCAGAAACACATTTCATCTAATCAATTGGAAAAATACCGTTTGCGTCACTCGTAAAATTGCTAATTTAATGCAAAACAGCCGTTTTTGTTTAAATATGTACAGCAATAAAAGCGGTAGTACAATTTTAAGAAACGGAATTAAACAATAACAATAAATCTTTTATATTTAGCGGCAAAAAGGCTGAACAAAAAGGCTAATTAATAATTAAATAAATAGACAAAAGGCTTATAAAGGGACCGTCAGTTAAACGAAAACGGAACATATGGTTGTGTTATTTTTGAGTAGAGAACGTTGACGAGTTTAGGATTAGGAAATCAACGTGGGACATATTTTGGACAAATTGAGCGCATGTGCTAACAATTAATGTGGAAATGGCTAACAATACACATTTGCTGGTCACAAATGCGAGTACAGCTATCCGTACTTTTGGTACTTAGCAACGCAGGTTCCCGGTTGGTAACTGCGAATAGTTAAATTTTATGCACTTTCTGGTTAACTGGTAGGTGGAATTTGGTTTTAAAGCGGTGTTCGTGTGTGCGCTCGTAAAGCACAACAGTATTTCAGAAATGTCATCTAACTGAATGCATTCCTACCTAGGCATTTGTAATGATTTAAACCTTGTTAAAAAAAGGGCATCAAGATGGAAGCGTTTGGTGACAGTTTGAAAACAGCAACTTTAAGAAAAATCAGGCTAAAATTATTCTCAAATTTTTACTGCTTTTAGCGGGCAAGAAATGGAATATTTTGAAGTCGGGTCCTTGGTTATCTTTATGTGACAACATAAACTACAGTAAATGGGTTTTAATGATGCGATTTGTGTATGGACATGTTAAGCGCGTAAAAGTTGGCAATTAAGATGTATCAACATGAGTTGCCCCTGCTCACACCTGGCTATCTTGGTCGGAATGTGGGCTTGTGTGGGGGCGTTGCACATTATTCCGCTAAAATTCTTTATCTCTACACCATAAATTTATTTTTAAATGCTTGGACATAATGCAGGAGGTTGTGGCCTTCAGCCGTAGTGTCCAAAGAAAGACTACGTCGAAGCAGGATTTAATACCATGTATGACATGCAGAATTCTGTCAAAGAAGCTGAAATTTGAGCCAACACTTCTAAGTGTTCTCACGAAGGATCTGGCTTAGAATTTATGATCACTGCATTTAAAACCAATATACAGGAATTTGATTTTTTATATAAATTATAAAAATATATTGTGCGATTTTGCATTTCAAAAATATTTCGGCTGTCTGATGAAAACCCTACACCTTGTGAATTTTGCAAAAAAGCCAGATTTATGTGCTGTTGGTAATTTGAAATCCAACAAATCAATTTTGAACACAAAGAGCATAAGTCCGTTTCAATTGGACACGAGCATGTACTCGCCACTTGATGGTTATTTTGTGTGTTTGCATTTAGCACATATCTTGACAGCATTCGCAATAACGAGCATGTGAAACTCCGAGAAAATCCCACGAGCGTTTTCAAAACACGTGTCTTCTTATTTAATAGCAAATGCCTTCAGGCTGAAGAGGAGACTAAACAGACAGTCGGAAGCACAGAAATGTGCGATAAATTTATAAAAATTTCATCCGTGGACTCCACGGATGCAGATCGCATAACATGTACATTCCATAGGAAATTAATTAAAATTTTGGACTGTAATACGTCTTTTCATAGCCAGATCAAGTCATGCAAATCACCTAGCATTCAACAACACTCACGAGTCTGTGATTGAATGAGAAGAGCCATTACGGCCCGGTGAGGAGGCTTTAATTCCGGCAAATTTGCTGTGTGGAGAACTCCAATCGGAGAATTTTCGTCGGTACGTTGGCTCTCGCAGTCGTCTTAGATGGCGACCGATTTTCTGTGGTTGGCTAGGAAAGCTGTCTGTGTTTAAACTTATCCTTCTCAAGCGAATCTGGTTAAAATTCGCCGACGAGGAAGACGATGACATCGCCGTGAGAGTGTGGGTGTGTGTGTGTGTGGACTTGTGACAAGCTGCGCAGCATGTGCCAAGCCCGTTTTCACTCGCTGACCAATCAACGACGATCAAAAACCGAAGCGCGCGGTTTGACTATTAACACTTGAGACGCGGGACAAATATGCGTTATCGGCGTGTCACGTTTCCCTAGTTCAATTTACTTGCACTTTGCAAGATGACTTTACACGCGTATGCATATTTTTTTAAATGGTAAGGTAGAGAACACAATAGAAGAGGAGATGGCAAAATTAGAGCTCGCACCAACCATCATGTTTTATTAAAAAAAATTGAATATAATTTTTTTAACAGCACAAAACACCAAACTTTACCGAGTCGCATTTGTATTAAATTTAGTAAGTAGGATTTAGATAACTTTTACGGATTACATGGCCAGAGGGGAGAACCTGAATTAATTTTTATTTTCTACAAATTCAATTATATTAATTAAGAATTTTATGAAAAAGTGGAATTTCCCTAAATCAACACATGTGCCGATAGAAAATTAGATAAAAATAATACAGCAGTTGAGGACATGAAACAAAAAATCTGCCAGAGGAAATTACCACAAATTTTGCAAAAAATTGTGAGCCGTTAATCTTTTTGTTTTTTTTGAAAATCCAACGACAATTGTGGCTGATTTGAAAAGATTGCATCAACAGGAAAGTGGCAGTTTGCCAACTTAGGTGGTATTTCATCGTTTTCTCCAATTCACAATTTATATAAATACAACCGCTATGGCTGCAAAGTCAAGGTTGGATTTGCGCCTGACGAAGTTGCAAAATGGAGACATTCATTTTGACTGTCAATTACGCTTGCTGTGAATCGTGTTTATTCAAACCCCTTGATCCGGTCGCTCCAGCTTCCGACATGGTGCTCCCCTTTTCGCAGCATGTCGCCAGCCTCGCGGATCCTCAACTCCCTCCTCATTCACACTGATATTTATCTTGGAGCATCCTCACACCTAGGTCTCGATGTTAGCGCATGTATGACTCACACATCCGAGGTATAAATACACACGTAAACCCCACCCATGACACAATGACACCAACGTGGTTGAGCCCTGAATTAAACGGTTATGTCCACGCCCTCTCCGACTTTTTTCTTCATCACGGGTACCAAGGAAGCGTCATCAGGCCATAGTTAATTCCGTGGCCCCGTCTTTGCTCAAGACCACATGCTGGACCCGCAACACACTCATGTCGAAACCCACAAACACAATAACCAGCAAGTTCACGTCTATTGTGATTTCGAGTTGTGGAATGCTGAAACCATAGCTCAAACCATTACCGTCATCATAAACCGTATTTTAAAGGGCTTGGAATATATTTAATGGTAAATCACGTGATTATTTAATGAATAAGTGCAATTCTACAGAATTTTTTGATTTTAACCAATAGCAGTCGGAACCGTAACCGTGCTTTTCATTGCTGTCACACAAAATTTGATCTTCGTAGGCAGACACCTTTTTACGCAACTGGACTGGAAACTGGACATTTTTTAGGCGTGGTGTTTTTAAACACCGGCCCGCATAATTGCCACACGTGGTTTTTGAAATGTTTTTCATCTACGCGTCTCAAAAACCGTGCAAGCTACATTAATTGCAGAAAATTCAAGAATAGTTTAACGTAATTTCTAGTTTATGGATTGAATTTTAAATGCAAGGCAAACGCTTGAGGGCATATTGGCAAGCAAATTGCATGACAAGTCCTGTTTTTTTTAAAAAGAGCATTAGCATAATGCCAAAAAGTTTTTCTATTACATGACAACGCGTTGGTTTATTATAGAATGAATGGAATTTCCATCTAAGTACACCGCAAATTAATCTCTAAAGTGTCCGCCCCGCAACCGGCTCGTCTAGACAGCAATGAAAAGGGTACTATGCAAATAATGGAAAATCGGTTTTGTTTGCCTGGGGTTTTTTTTATGACTGTGACCGCGTTAGCGTTCTAAGCTAATTATAAATGGGTGTAGGTAGCGTGAAATATAAATGAGCACACTAGATGGATTAGGAGAGGCAGGTGAATTTATGAAGATGCAACGGGTGGAGGTGTGAGACTACACGAATTTAGAGAAGGGTTCTACTCGCGGTTTCACGCTATTTCCATTACATCGGCAATTCACAAACACCGACACAGGACATACTACTTAAACGACAACTTTTGCAGAATTTGTCAGGTTTGCAGAATCTAAATGTGTTTAAATAGTTCGGAGCTGAAGTTAAGTTAAGTTAAGTTAAAATCTGCTTCAGCTCCGAAGCAGAATTTAAATCTTTTTGATCTGAGCACTATTCAGAATTACGACGATGGAAAAATACACAAAAGTTAAAATTTGCATTCCTTCAAGCACATAATGCGTGCTTAAGTTGGTTTTTAAAACAACTACGTTACTAATTTAGCTTTAGTAACTATTATTTTGCAGGCACGCTGCAGGAATGTGAATTTCTTGAAATGAAGCATTTTATGCTAACTTGATTCAGCTGCCAGAGTGAGACCAGATTTAGAGACGTTTTCATAAACACTACTTGATAATTACGCAAGGAGAACAGAAAAAGTTGACACAATGACAACTTGCAATGGTCGTGGATTTTGTTCGATTTTCTTGGAAGACAATTCATAGCTTTTACTGCTTTCGTTCATGGCAATGATTTTTGAAACCCGCTATTTTCAATTAATTTAAGTTTTAATATTTAAAACGGTTTTTAAAGCACCAATGCAAAAGTTTCAAAGTGGAATAATTTACCTAGATGTATTTGAAATTGGCAAATGGTTATTTTGTTTAAAACAGAAGCAGAAACAGCACGACCTTCAAATTAACTGCAGCGTTCTGCTACAGTTGTCAGAATTTACCCAACACGTTGTGCTTATTCCATTGCTTAGGAAAACAATGAATTTTGAACAAAACATAGAAATGTTTAGGCGCTGGTGCTGATCATGTGCGGTAAAGAAACAGTAGATGTCTTTATTTAAACAAAAACACGAATCGAATGTGTGCCAGATGCCACAGGGACTACTTTAATGATTTCTACCGCAAATTTACTAAATATGCAAGTTGTTCGAAGCTAAATATGATTGGCTGTGACCGACAAAACTGACCTGCTCAGCCGGGTATTATCGGGGTAACTGTCGACGTGGAAGATGCCATTGCGCAGCCGTCTGCGAGGAATATCCATGGCTGAATGCGCCGCACGTGCCACGTACGAAATGAAAGTGCCTTACTGAAAGAACCAGCACGAATCGCCAATCACGATAAGTGTGGAACTGCACGCACAACTACCTACACACGCCCTTTTGTGACAGAAGAACCACAGGAAAGCCTTATGAGGTGGCGTCTCTGAAGTGGTACTCGTGGATCCGTTAAAACAACGCACGACAACACGAGCCAATTAGAAGCGCATGTTAAAGGTGATGGCACATTACATGGTAGCAGTGTCGTGGATAGCCGTAACAATGGACGCTAATATCACCAAATTAATTCATACACAAAGTTACACTTCACAATCCGTGTTATGTGTAGGGTCAAAGCCGTTTACATCCTACTGTGTTCGTGCGCTCACGTAAATGAAGGCAGCGATCAGTAGAATCCCTACATGTGGTTTTGTTTTAATTAACCTAGACGCTTGATTCGATTCCCATGGCAACCCGAACAATAAGTTTCTTGGTCCGGCTTAATTACACTAGTGGTATAATTTATGAGGAAAAATTGTAGCATTAATTACACAGTAGACAAAAGGCAGTTTTTTCCTGCAAACAAAGTGTAATCTAACCTAGATTCTTGAAAAGTTTTGAATTCATTATGCTTAACGATCGACTTTTGGAACATGACAAATTGACCAATCATCACACAGCTGGAATTGTCATTTAACCAATAAAACTTGTTTTCTGGATCGTGGTTTAAATGGCGGAGAAAGCATTACTCACTTTTTATTGGCCACGGTGGACTGAGTGAGATCGGAGGACTCCGAGGCACGCCGGATGTTGATGATTGGAGGCGAGTGTGTGGAGGTCGTTAGCGACATTTTAGTGGAGGTTCAAACTGCGGCTGGAAGAAAACAGGAGAGAGAGAGTTGGCATCGGCTGCTCTAGCGGTGGACATGAAATTACTTGGCTGCCACATTGTGAGAATTGCGGCTGATCGCCACCCACTAATCACCTTGGCTAATCATAAATAAACAACCGTCACCAATCAGCTTCTAGTACAAACACACACCCAAGCACACACCTTGGCGGGGGTAATTAAGGCATACGGGACCTCCATTCAACACGTTTTTTGCACAGCTTCTCTGTTTGTGGCGATATTGAAGTTGTTTTCAGTGGTTAAAACGGAAACCACTGCATGTCTGCAGGAAAGAGTCAACAGCTGCGGATCTGTCAGAACTCAGCATGGTAGGAAGCTGCAGGCAACATTTTATATTGTGGTTAGAATATCATGGTTTGCAAACATCTATTCGCTAGCACATCGCTGGTTTAGCAATTCAGGCTTATTAAGAATCGTGGAAATTGTGTGCAATTTAAGAGATCAGGTGTTGATAATCCCCACACAAAAGATCCTACTTGCTACGGATTCAGTTCAGTAGACTTCAGTAACCACCTACATCTTTGACGCTCTTGTAAACCCACAGACTTTCTGATTCAGAATGCTCCTCTCGTCACAACAAAACTAGAGGCAGCTTTCTAAACAGAAGAGTGAAACTAACGGTTATCGCGAAAAGAATCGTTCACTCCAGGCGCATTTCAGTGCAACTTAAAAGTCAGTTCAGGGGAAAATGTAGAAGAAGACGCTGACTTTTATTTTGCTGGCATAAACTGTGAGGCTTCGTAGTTTTCTCCAAAAACATCTTCTGCTGATAGTTTTAATGCCAGAATTGCCTTTGTTTTGGCAACACGGTTACACAGTCTTAGAATCCTCTGTAGTTCTGAAAAACTCAACACATTAAAAGTAATTAATGATTGCAACTAAGGTAGGAGTGATACAAACCACAATATCTAAACGATAGCGTGTGAGCTAAAATCGCATTATTTGAATAAAATAATTATTTTTTTTGGTTTTAAAGCTTGTAAATGCCATTTGTTGCGTATGTTACTCAATGGTGTACAAGCAAACTGCACGATTACCATGGCAATTTGTGAATACGGGTACGACAAAGACTGTAACGAAAAGGATGGCGGACCATGTCTTCGCGCTACGCACTCGTCGCCTACCAGCCACCCAGGAGTTTGGGCTGGAGTCTGTTTCTGTCGTAGGCACCATGGCAACAATAACTACCGGCCTTTTAACTGGATCTGAGTTGTGGTTCCCGAAGGCCTCTATTGGGGCTGCAGTGCTGCAGGGCATGCCTGCTTCTGCACCAGTCAGATCCATGAGATACAGCGCCCAACATACACTGCTTCAGAAGGCTTCAAAATGAACAGGTAACATTTGGGCCAGTTAGCCTTCTTCTCACCAAAACGGTGTCTCCTGTGGGCAATGTCTGTTCGGATTGGTGGATTGATGTTACTTCGCAGTTTACTTCCCCTAGACAGTCTGGGCATTGAGAATGAGGTTTAAAAAGCTTCAGACAAGTGTGTTATACCTCATTTTTGTGGTGTTCTTGCTAAGTTCAGGGCATTTTTTTTCAATTTACTCATTAGTAGGCACCTAATTTGAAGTTGGCAGGAGGCGAAATATTTAGCCACGCGACAAAACACGCAGATATCGTTCTGACTTGATTGCATGCTATTTACTAACGTGTAAATTGAGAGACAATTGGCAGTGGTCGACAGTAAATTAAAGAGGAAAGCGCAGCATTGTGAGAGTCTACCTGATCAAGGCAACCAGTGAAACGCAAATTTAGATGATTTAACAAGCTTGGGTTTTGGTCAAGACGCAGCGAAAGTGATCACAAGCGCGCAAAATCTAGGACCATGTTTTTTTTCAAGTTGTTACGGACTTTTGAAGTCAAAATCTGACCGAATTCGGAAAATTCGAAACCCGATTATTCGGCTAAAATGTAAAGAAGCCGAAGAGTGAACCCGCTTACTAAAGACGATTCAGTCACTCGATGAACTAGGAATAGGTTTCAAAATTGAATGGGCTGTCATTGCAGTAAATCTACAAATGAACATTTCGAACAGTTGAAGCATAAATGTTCCGTTTTCTAGACGTGAGGGACGTTCTCTTGGGAAAACCTAATTTATCAAATAATTGCTCCGATCTCAGGAGAGCCAATTAAAAACAACCGTCAAGGCCGTTAGATGGTCGACTCTTGAAGTGTAATTCGACAATTAGTCTAGAAAGCTTTTCAGGTAGCAAAATCAACACCATGCAGCGTCTGCAAAGTGTCACATTCATGTCTGAGTAGCTTTAATCGCTTTTATTAAAATGCCAAGTCAAACAAACCATAGGGCATATTTAAGGAAAAATAAAGAATGTTTTTCTCGTTCTTCCATTGTGTTTGTTGCAAAACTTGTGTTTAAACAAGGCGCAACAGAACTTTTTTTCCTGCATTCTCTGGGGAGGAAGAGCTCAAATAAAGGCGAGATTTGACTGCATTATTTAGCGACCGCCACGCACTGTCTTAAAGCACAAAACTTGGAAACTACTCGTCAAAAAATTTCATCGATGGAGAACGTACGATGTTCGAAATAATAACATGTTCATCTAAATTGCTTGCTATCGCTTGAAGTAAGTTTAAAGATGAATTTAATAACATAGATTACGAGATGCACGCAGGCCATATTTGAAACAAGAAACGAAATTTTGTGGACTAATCAATACGGATAAATCCCCTTAAATGACTCTAAAGTAGCAGGTCAAAATGATCAGACATTTGAATCAAGACTTAATCATCGTAGAACAGAGCCACTTCTTGGGGGTTGCCGGAATATTTTATAACTTTTTTATGAAAAGTGTTTAAATCAGACTGTTGGTACCAAACAACGCCATTGTTTTTGTGGAGATGACGTCACCCCAATATGATAGCTATGGAGAAGCTACATTCATGCTCTTGTCACGTAACCGGGCAAGATATTTGACCAAAAGCGCCAAATTTATGTGTGCCTGGCCCCGTCTAGACTACCAGTCGTGGCTAACACCGGTTGACATTTTGCCTCACGACACTTCTGAAGGTCAGAAACCTCGCTTTTCGACGTATGAGACAATACCACGACGCGCACTTTTTGCATAGCGATGTTGTGGTTTGAAAAGGCAGCTCTTTGACATTTAGTAAGCAGTTGAGGCGTTATGCTGCAAACGCGAAAGAATTTAATCAAAATAAGACAAGTCAATTAAAAAAAACATTTTTGTAACATGATGATTATATGATTGATTTTAGAGTCCTTTTTGCCTAGCAGTCACGATAAATACCTGATTGTTGATACTTGCCTGTTTGGAATGACTCAGCCAAATGCGGTTAACAATAAATAGAAGATTTAGAAGGTGAGGTATAGTGAAAACGTTACCTAATTTCGTTTTGAAATCCGTAAATTTCAAACATTCAGCGTCCAACATGACCACCCACAAAGGGATGATTCACGCGAAAAATCGTTATCCCCATGAAACAACATCTCATGTCACACAAATTTATATATTATGGTTTAGGAGTTTAAAATTAAGCCAAAATGAGAGTTGACCACCGCGTAAAAAATGCAAACTACGACCACGATTTTGCATGCTTTGGGAAATAAAATATTTTGGTGTTCCATACTTTGCAAAAAAATCTGCGTTAAAACGATTCTACACTTGCATTTGGCAAATTAATATTTCTGAACGCAATTTGTTGCTCCCTGGTGATTTGTTTCGCGAAATGGGATTGGTAAAAGATGACTGAACTGTACGATCTCAAGCCATATTAATATAAATAAATCACAAGTCAATCCACTTTTTTCAAAAAAAAACGCAATTTACGAGATGTCTGTCCCTGTAGGATTGCGTGCAGTTATGTTAGGCTTTGACATTTGGGCCATAAACTATGGATGATTGATGGCAATAAAATCAAGAAAAAATTGGTTTGAAAAAAGCTGACTGCCACACTCTTATACTACTTAAACACTTCAGTCACTGCCATTGCAACGACTTTTGTTAAAATCCTTTAAACTAAATTGCATGTGTCGGGACAATCCGCTGATGTGCACGTAATTAGGGCAAGTTTTGAACTCAGGAAAGTTATTGTGACCCATCTTTTATTTCGGGTTTCCATAACGATTTACAGTTGCTTGCGTTAAATTGAGGTTTCAAGAGATTTTACTTTTATCACTTTGGGAAAATGACACAATTGCGCTTTTTATCGTAAAAACACGCAAATTATCGGAGATCAAACAGTGACTGTAATCAAAGTCACCGATAGCTACCTCATTTGTAAATGTGATTTTTTTGTCTACTTTCTGACTTTTTCTTGTCAGGTTAAGTAAATGTCACTAAAATGTGTTTGGCAATTATATCGTACAACACCCTAGATATAGTGAACGACTTGTTGCTAATTGGCATTTACTACTTTTAAGAGGATTTGAGTAGAGAAAGCAGAGTGACTAGCATATTTGTTGACCTAAATGCACTGAAGGCATAGGCGTTACCAGCCCCCATCTCCGAGATGCCCTTGACTGAGTGACCTAGGGTGTTGTTTAATTAACGTGCAGTGATTAGACGTGCACGGCTAGAGTCAACAACGTCTATTGCTTGTCCAATCACGCAATATCATTGATGAAGCAAAATTAGAGACGTGAAGTGTGTCCTAAGTACACGTACTGCAGGTCTACTGACAGTCAAATAAAATGATTCTCAGTGTGCAAGAGACAGTTAACGGGTCTCGTAATTCCTTGCTGGTAGGGGAGTCGAATTACCTTTTTTTTTTATAAAACATTGAAGCAATTTTTGTCAATAAGATAAAATCCCTAATTGGTTGAGTTTCTTTGCAGGTGGTTTTTTTGAAAATGAGCTTACTTTGGAAGAATTATGCTAGAAATTGGTACTTTTCTTTTTCATCCCGTTCATAAATGGTCGCTCTCTGACAAGTTGTTGTTCTGTGATTTTCTTTCTGACATGATTTGAACTGGAAAACCCAGTTGTTAAGTGTAGCTAGCTCGATTTTTCGAAGTCAATTAAGGCTAATGCTCTAATGCTGCGATGCTGCTAAATCTTTTTTTAGCCTTTTTCTGTTTGTTGTTCACATATGTCAACATTTAGAGGTGATCTCACAAATAAATGGAAACCTGATTGATTCTAGCCGAAAAAAACACTAGGAGGCCCCTGGCATAAATAAAAAAATGCTCTTTAACAGACATTTTTTTATTTCAGTATAAGTGGAATTCCTACAAACGTTTTCCTGCATAAAACAGAACAACCATGGGCATAGAATTTAAACCAACGCAGTTTGGTTTTCCCCACACAAATCATCGGATTTAAAAATGTTTGAAGATACGAAACATTTTGTAAATATCATAGCATCACGAAAATTACAAATGTTAAGATGATGTTACAAGTATCTTACACGGAAATAAGGCATAGAAGCGTCTCAAGCAAACGTGTTTGATTGCCTATTTTAAAAAGCTCGGTTTTAGTGTTAGTTGGCCCATTTTAAACAAATCATTACTGCCTAAATAGCTTAACACTAGAAGCAAAAATCACCGTAAATGAAAAAAACAAATGAAACTTTTAAATTATAGAAATTCAAGTGCCCTTATTGAATAAATGTGCAGGCGGTTAACCAGTTATCATAGAGAATGTAAACTCCAATTCGGCATATTGCATTTTCTAATTCGAATGACCATTTGCATGTTATTCAATAAAACAGTTTTCACAAAAGTTAGCTATACTACAAAATTCTATGCGTCTCACAACATAAGGTACAAGTTTCCACTTGATTAGGCGTCAGGCGTTTAAAAGGCCATGAAAAAATTGAAAGACGTGACTGTCGCACTCCAGGCTGTCAATGTGTTAATCAGATTTCAACACGGCCAAGGATTTGCAGAAGCAAACACGCAAAACCATTAAAAACGCGATTTTAAATAATTTTCCAAATATCCGGCAACGCATGAATCTTTTTTTGTCTTTAGCAAAATTGATTTTTAAACTGCATTATTTTTTTAAGCAAGAAATTTTCGTCCCGCAGTTTTCTGGAAAATTCGAAAACTATCGTATGAACTCACTATTAAAATTCGAAAGGACTAACAGAAACGCTTAAAATTTAACTGCTCTAGAGACAAAGCATTTACCACTTCAAGGATGTAAAGAAAACGCTTAAACACAAGTTTGTGGGGTAAAAAAACCCAGGACTTACAAAACTATCAAGTAACGGATTCTGTAGAGTGATCAATGGAACCCACTTAAGTGTTTTTGTGTTAAAACAATTTGTTAGAGCCTCAAATGTGGGTGACAAGTTTAAAAAAACGCAAAAAAGAGAAGACAAGTGTGATTGTCCGGCTTCTTAGCCTG